ATCCTGGAGAGGGGATGGGCAAGTAAGTAACCTATGTTGATTTAGAGCCCTGGCTGTGATGACCTCATCTGAAACACAGTTAGAATTTTGATTTAATGTGATAAGCTTTTGATTCAGTGTTCTCTCCTTGGTACTTGTATTTATGTCTACTGTACATTGTGATCATTATTGACAAACTCCTAGAGTTGGGTAACATGGAGTGGGAAAAGTTATGTTCTTATGGAAACTAAAGGTCAAAGACAAGTTCTAGACTCTGGCTGAGTCTCAGAATTATATTAATGCAAATTGGATTTGGGCTTCTGCAACAGAAGTTAGTGATGCCTTTTTGACCCAGATCAAGCACAGAAGATGGGCAAAATACCCCTGGATATCTTACTAGGTGCTTTTTGAAAAGAATAGGCAGTTGCCATTTTAGAGTTTACCAAGTACTTCTCAAGTTTCATCCTCCCAATAACCAAGTGAGGTCAATAATGTATGCCCATTTTACAGATGTGGAACTTCATGTTCAAAAAACTAAGGAAGTTACCTGAAATCATTTGCTTAGCAGATATTAGAGTAACTTGAACCTAAGGTCCATCTTCTACCATATATGACTTTTTTCCTCAAATCAAAAAAGAATTGTAAGCCATTTTTATGTAGATATTCTCTGTAGTATTTCTGTTGTATTCTACCCAACTATGCAAAAATTACCAATGACTTTGGAGATTGAACAAAATTTGGGTCTAATTCTGTAGGACATTATGATTAGATTATGGAAACTTTTACTTTCATATGTGTATTATTATTATTTTTTATTAGTTTCTAAGACTCATTTAATACAAGCTCTTTGGCTTTCATCAATTCTATTTTCTCTGTTTCTGAAATTTGTAATTCAAATTTACTGATATTATTTTTTTCATGCTCATAGTTTCTTTCTACTGCAACTGATTATACTCTCAGTAGCTAAGAGGAGACAAGGTACAGCAAAACTCCATGGGTTTGCTGCAGATCCAGATACTCACATGCATTCAGGAAAAGGGGAATAGAAGAAGCAACAGTTTTAACAGTTTCATTTTCATTTCTCATAGCTCAGTTATCATTTATCATGGTTGGAACTCATTTTGTTTTAGGCTTCATGGGCTGATGCTTGTTTCTGATCCTAGTCTAATCCGCACTTTAAGTAAACGAAGTTCTCTTCTTGGTAAATGTCAGGGGAGGAGAAGGTATTTCATGCACCTACAGCATCCTAAAAGCCCTTGCCAAATTTATGAATCTGACTCTGCATTATCCTTCCCCAGAAGGAGAGCATAATTTCATTAACTATGAATCATCACCTCCTAGACTGTAACATCATTGTCAGAGAGCCTAATAGAACCACTGTTCAGCTGGCCGAGAAGGGGGACGGAGAGAGAGAGCAATAGGCACAGCACAGGTCATTGGCACGATCGACTAACTAGAAAGTTCTAGAGCCAGGAGGGGAGACCTTTCTCCCTTGATATCTCAGACATTTCTACTGACCGGTAAATAACTGATGCTGATTCTTTCAATGTTAATATTGAAATTTGTTTTCCCAAGCTAAATTACCTTATGTTTCAGTTTACTGCCTATGGAAAAATATTAACCCATTTAATGAAAATATCAGAATATTTGGCCAACAAAGATGAATATAAATACTTTAAAATATTTCTTATCTATTCTTATCACATTATTACTTGCTCTTCATCTTATGGACATTTATTTCTAGCCCTTAGTACTAGTTCCATGGCCTCTGGGCATTATTAAGTAAGTCAATATGCAAAATATAACTTTAAAAGTTTACACTATCTTTCCCAGAGAGATGAACTAAATAAAATTCAAATCTGATTAACAGATCAAAAACTGTATGTTGTAAACCATGTTTACGTAAGGATTCACGGAAATGTGTATGAATAGCTGTGGTTGGTTGAATCAGCCACTGGAGGTCACTGCTGCTCCACAGAAATATGTCTTATCACCTGTCTACTTAGGTAGTTGACTCACCAAATCAAGTAAAAAATGGTTTAAATTATTTGAAAAGATGTAATGTAAGCACTTTTGGAAAATATAAACTCATTTAAAAGGAGTATAACCTGCGTAAGTATTGCTTAGAAGACTGGCACTGGGACTGTTAATGCCACACTGTAGTAGCACTATGCGTACTGGGGCTCATAAAAGTGGGGGAAAAACCATGTAGTTCAGAGGCTAAACTGTATTTCCTTTCTCTCTGGTAAAGGATTAAGTACTGACTGACTCCATTCAGCATGGATGTATTTCTGTTGTGTAGTTCAACAGGTCAGGCTGTTTATTTAACGGTTGCCACCTTTGAGGGTATTCAGATACTTCATGTAAATTTGGAATAGAAAATGGAATACCAGTTATACTTCTCTAATATACAGTGAGTTTGAAATACTTATCAAATATATTTATGGTTTATAGTCCAGAGAGTGCCATGAGGTGGGGGTGAGGACAACAACATTTGAACAGAAGCACATTAGTAGCTGACTTTGTTAAATTTATAGTGGTGTCTAATCTACAAGAATTATGTATTTGGGCTCAGAAGAGACTGAGAACCAGAGAATCATCATTCCCAGAGGGGAGGGAAAGGTCTTTTTTTTTTTTTAATTTTATGTCCCAAACCAGAATAACTTTACAAGCTAACGCATTTTATTTTGGTTTTTATCTCATTGGCTAAATATATAAGTTGTTAAAGTTAGGCCTTAAAAAATGACCAACCTTCAAAATGTTGGTCATTCACTTAATCTTACACTCCAAGTGGCTTTGAATTTTAGGCACAGTTTAATACAGCAAATGTATTTTGTATGTACTAGCAGTACCATAGCATTAAGAATTTGCAAGAATTCAAAAATCTAAGTATAAATATGCCTTGCTTAAATTTATTTGGTATCCAGTGAAAATGAGACAGAAGGTCAAGTCAAAGAATAGAGATGGGCTTTTTCACTTTAACACTGAATTTAATTAATACAATCATCTTTTGTACAGATAAAAAGGCTGACCAAAGAAAATTTCTTTTTTAGATGATATATGTATTTACTGACATTTTATGAAAAATATAAAATTACAACTTCAGTGAAAAACATCACAGTAAGCTCAGTCATCCCAGTTCTTAGTATTCTAAAGAAGTATCTGCATTATTAATCAATGGGTAATCTGTGACTGTTTGCCATTAATAAATGTATATTCAAAAATTATTTATGGGTAAATATATTGTAGCTATGATGCTTTTCTGAAATGACATCTATTTTAAGATTTAATCAAATTTAAAGTACCTTGAGAAATCTACTTTCAATGTTCCTTTTTATTTATTGCTAATAAAAGTATGATTTTTATAATTTGGCTTCCTTGCAATTATATTTCATGGTGACTTGCCTAGATTTTTCCTCTCAGCATATGAAAAACCTTCAAACTATATAAAAATGCTGGTTAAAAAATAAGCATTCATTTTCTCTTTTTGCTGCAGAGATTCTGTTTTGAAAGAACAGGGACATGGTTAAAGAGATGTGGGGTTAACAACTCAAATTAAATGAAACAGATTCAATGGTGCAATTCCTGATTTTTGTTCCTATGAAGAACTGTTCATTTTGGAAGATGAAACAAGGCACAATACAGACTAAAGACATTTTTTCTAAAATCTTAATGAACTGTGGTCAAAGTCACTTAAATACAGAAGCTATGATGTTTGTGCTGCAGTCAATAAACTTTCACCTACGGCATAAAAACATGCATGCAGCTTGCCAACAGGGTCTGTACAGAATTGTGGATGAGTTCACAATACAGATGAACATAGGGGCACTGTATGTCAGCAATAGAAAAGCAAAAGACAATTGCCATAGAGTTCATCTTTTTCTCCTCTAAGATTTATTTTATACATTTATTAAGGTGTTATCAAAATCATCCTTTTTAATTAGGCTGTTCGTGGAAAGAATGTCGTGGAATGTGTTGTCTTTAAGCCTCCCAAATGAAGTCTGTCGTTGGGGGACTAGCGTGTGTAGGGCACATGCTGAAACACAATAGGACAGCCTGACAAATCTCCAACAGAACCGACAGAGCTAAGGATCCCGCTCAATACAGGGTCCTTGCAAGAGCTGAAAAGAGAAATTCTGGTAAGCTCCCAACCACTTGCTTACAGCAAGCTGCCTTCCCAGTAGTAAGCCTCCTCCTCTGAAAACTCCCTGATGTGAGGAGCAGTGGAGAAATCTGCCTCAAATTTGCTTCTTGGATATTTTATTGATTGATTTATTTTGGAAATGTGGAGGCTAGAAGGATTTTACAGGGATGGGTTTGAGAGAGAAGGCTTCAAGTCTAAAACTTTGTATTTTTACCATCTCCTCACATTTTACAGTTTTCTTGAAGCATTTTATCCCTTCAGCTCTTCTCAGTAAGCTTGCGTTACTGTAACCCAACCCCTCTGGCAACTGCGTGTGGCACTGCTTTAACCCAGCCCCACCTTTTGATAGGTCCTGCAATTTTCTTTTTAAGGCAAGTGTGTTGTTTGAAGGCTTGGTCTCTAAATGTTCCTGTAGTCAAGCTTTCCTTTAGAATCAGTTCAGGCTCCAAGTACCTGAGATCATTCAGTTTTTTTTCTTGATTTGCCAATGAATTGCAAACCCTCTAGACCTGTAAATTTGGTCCTACCAGGAAGAGAATACAGCAGAAGTGGGAGATTACTTAAGAAAGAAGTTTCTTCTTAAAACAAATGTGACATTAATGGAATCAGTTAAGAGTCTTATACAATAGGCATTATATTCAAGCAGAGTTCAAGCTTCACATTGATTGTGATATTTAAATTTCAACGGGCTGGTTATGTATGAAAGGAATATGATCAGTGTTATGACTGTACTGAAATGGCCAGGGAGGGCCTTGCTAGGAGAGGGAGAGGGAGAGGGAGAGGGAGGGGCACCACGTTCCCTTCATAGTCACCACAGTTCAGTAAAGCACCACTTATTTCCCAGCTTTAAGAGCTCTTTTATCACAATGGTTCATACCTCACACTCCCTGGAGCCCGATTTGCTATAGGTGCAGGGTCCCGTCCCATTCAGCAGCATCTCGCTGGTCTCCGTGTTGGTGGGTTTATAATCTACATAAAATTCCTGGGTGCTAGGAGTCATTTGCTTTAGGGACTGTCTTTTCTTTTTCCTGTGCCTCCGCATGAGAGATCGCTGCTGCAGCTGCTTCATGCTGGCAGGGTACCGCTTCCAGGACACGTAGATAACGAGCAGAATGACGAGCACAGACAGGAAGAGGGCCACACTCCCTGCGATGATTTTATGGAAAGAGATGTGCTCGGTGTCAGCATCAGTCTCTGGGCTGGGCTCCGTGGCTCCCACGGTGGGGGGCACAGGGGGTTTGCTCTCGTGCTTCGGCCTGGGGAGCTTGGGCTTGAATGTCGGCTTTGGGAGAGCTCTGGCCAGGTCAAACCTCTCCGTGGTACTTTTGCCACAGATGCTGTAGTTCTTCACTGCATCGATCACATTTACTCCTTGCAGCTCTTTGGGACTGGCACAGATAATTGTATTCTCCCTCAGACCTTTAAAACTTTTCAGCCAGTTTACCAGGGAACAAATATTTCTGCTGCATTCCCATATATTCCCGGCAAGACTGATGTCATTGAGGGATATCCAAGAATCCAAAATCTCTTGACCAATAAATGTGAGCTTGTTGGAATCCAGGTTGAGGCGCTGCAGATTCGGGACGCACTGGAAAACACTAGGTCCACTGAAAGCTTCAATCTCATTGCCAGATAAATCAAGCCTCTGTAATGAGCTCCAGGTCCAGGACATGCTCTGTCCTATGACACTGATTTTATTCCACTGCAAGTAAAGGTTCTGAAGGCTCACCAATCTTGGGAAGAGGGCCAGGTTGAGCTTAGAAAATTGATTGTGCTCCAGGTGAAGTTCTTTGAGTCTGATCATGCCAGCAAAGACATTCCTGGCCAAACTTCTGATCCGGTTATATCCCAGGTCCAGAAGTTCCAGGTTGCGGCAGTCTTGGAATATTCGCACAGGGATGGTTCTCAGGGAGTTAGACCTTAAATGTAAACTCAGCAGCTTCCGTAAGCCCCGAAACTGTTCAGATCCCAGAGCATGCAGCTGATTATAGGACAGATCCAAGTTCCGTAAATTTGTCACAGGTCTGAAGGTATTGTTGAGGAAATAGGAGATTCTGTTGGAACTCAAAATCAATTCTTTGAGTCTGCGTATTCCATTAAAAGCATTCTCATCAATATTGCTGATATGGTTATGGTCAAGGTACAGCCAGGTAAGCTGATTGAGCCCTTTAAATTGATTATACTTAAGTTTTTGAAGGCTGTTGTAGCGAAGGGACAGACCTAAGCAACCAGCAGATATACTTGAGGGTATCTCCTGTAATTTCTGAGATTCACAATATACCATTTTGCCTTCACACCTACAGCCCTTAGGGCATCCTCGTTCGGCAGAAGAAAGCATTGTCAGTAAGACAGTGGGGGCTATAACCAGTGCTACAGCTGATCCGCTCAGTAGCCTAATTACATTGAAACCTGGAAATAAAAACAACTTAGAAAAGTTATCCCCCCAAAAAAGAATTCATTTCTTTTAAATCAAGCAAAAATAGGCATGTGTTTTCTTTCTTTAAAGAATTAAATCTAGATAACAACGTTTAACATCAAATATCTCCTCATAATTTAATTATCTTTAGTATTTTTTTATAGTTAAGCAAGGAAACATGTCCACTAAGCAATTGAATTTATAGTCTTAGACCACAGCAAGGCAATCTCTAAAATAATTAAGGCAGAATAAATCACAGATCAGAGGTTTTTAAATTTTTTTTTAAAGAAGGAAAGAAGAAAAATGACAAAACATACCCATCCTTTGTATTGTTCAAAGGTCGTCCTTAGGTCTTTCGCTTCGGCTTAGGGGCCACTTGCATGACAGCCCCTGTCAGCTGCACTGTAGTGAGTCAGGGCTCGCTGACACCCAGGAAGAAAGATTGGACCCCTTGGGAGATGGACCGATTTTGGAACATTATTCTTTGCCAGCCACGCAGAACACTCCAAGAACAAATAAATTCCAACACCGCATTCGCAGCAAAACATCAAAATCTTCCTAGGTAATAGGATCTTCATGGATATTACGCTTTTGCATCTTTACAGGTTTTTTTTTTGTTTGTTTGTTTGTTTTTTGCGGGTAGGGTGAGGGGGATTAAAAAAAAAACTGGCTTCTACAGTTTCTTCTTATCGGAAAGCATGATGTATTCCTCCAGGCAATGCGGGGCTACCTGAGCTGCCACATCTGTATTCCATAGCCCAGCATTTCTGGTGGTGAGCACCCAGTTCAGCCACAGAGCTGCGTTGGAGCACAGAAGGCAGAAGAGCCCCGGACCCCGCACACGCTCAGCTCACTTCTGCAGACTGTCATTCTGAAAGCTGCTCCGACTGTTGCTTTGGTTTCAGTGAATGCAGTCTTATGTAAAGCTGCCCCCAGTGGTGAAGAACATTATGGGCATGTGCAGAAATGTCTCTCTTTTATCTTGCAAATGAGGAGGCTCTCTGCTGGGAAATGAATGATTCTTTTCGGTGGTTCAGTAGAAATTGAATGGTCACCATAATCAATAACTAGAATCATTTTATGTACTTTCCAAGTCTTGTTTTACAATTTGGCAACGTCTTTATTGTCTGCATTCACTTAATCGCTAAACATGTAATACCCAGAGTTTTTCTGGAGCTTGACATTAAGTTCACAGACCGAGTGTCAATTTTTCTTAACCTCATCCTAGGCTTTGACTGAAATTTACGAAATGAATTATTGAGCTTTTCAGAGAGAATCATTAACTGCCTGCTTGTTTGACCTCTTGGAGTCACTGTGATTATATTATGCAAGGTATCTCAGGGTGCTAGAGCACATACATTTTGGAAGAGAGGGGATAAGTAATGACAAATACATTAATGTGTCCAATAGCCTTTCTGGTTTTCCAACAGAAGACATGATTGGTTTAATGGCTTGTGGCTTGGCTTGTTGTCCTGGTTGCTGTCTTTTTTTTTTTTAATTAGAAGAGAGATAAACCGTTTTTAGTGTGAGTAGAAAAATCAAGAGATCATTTGGTTCAGTTTATTGATGCTGCTGCTAGTTATAACACTAATAATATTTATTGAACACTTTCTAAGTGCCTTAAATAGGCTATCTTGTTTTATCTTTAAACAATATTATGATGTAGGTTCCATTATAACCATCACTTTAAAGATGAGGAAACTATGAGACTTGGAGGGAGCACTTAAGGTCATAGCAAGTATCAGAGCTGATATTTAGAACCATATATTTCATATGTTTGAACCTCTCACCACTAGATGATCTTGCTTTATCAACATTGTTACTTTTGTTTTAAAATGGATCAAATGAAAATTAGCCTGGTAAAGGCATTGGGGTAAGTAATTAAAAAAAATAAATAAATCTTGCTTCCTAGAGTAAGTTTGTATAAACTTCCATATGAGTCATCCAAAGATGTATTATAAAAACTAAGGAAGGGGCAGTTTAGTCTAGGATAAGAGCATGGACTTTTGCATCTAGGTTCAAATCCTGACTGCAATTTATCAGCTCTGTAAATTTGAATAGGTTACTTATCCTTTCTATGCCTCAGTTTCCTTTCTGCAAAATGGGCATAACAAGAATCCATTTCATAGATGGTTTGAAAATTAAATATCTTACTATCTGTAAAGTACTTAGGATGGCATGTGGTACCTAATTAGCCAGTATTAGCTGTTGTTTGAGTGATATCAGTTTTACTGTATTTGCTGGCATTGCATGTTTAGTATTGAATATTGACTACACTGACTGTCACTAACTGACAAAGAGCCACTTCAATGAACATGTTTTATACTGTTCACAATGGATTTCCAAGGTTCACTCAATCTTGCCTTCTTTGATTAAGTGAACTTCCTGAATCTCTATCACATCAATTTTATCTTTAAAAATGAATCATAGGGTTCTATGGACCATAATTAGTAATTAATTTTTATTCTTTTCTTCCCCAAGACAGCCTATGGTAATATCTGCCCCATAGGAAAAAACGTTTTGTTTACAAAATGCTTCTTTAAAAAAAATTGCCTTGTTACTGCTCATTAGGTGAATTGGTTGTGGAAAACCTGGAAAGCTTTCATATGCTTTAAGAATGAAAAGTTTGGTAACAGTCATGACAGTTGAAAGGGGTCCCACAGATATAGTCCAATGAAAGTCACCAAGTTCTCAGTATCATACTAATATGGTATTGGTTCCCCCCAAAATTATGTATGCTCTGAATGTATACAAATCCCCCAAAGAACTTGTTAAAAATAAATTCCCTAACCTCTTCCCCATGATTCTGATTCAAGGGTGTAGAAGGGGCTGCACTTACCAACAGACTCTGATGGACAAGTAAGTTTAAGAATGCACTGTAAGGGAATGATTGATATTAATAACTTAGAACAGTACTCAGCACATTATAGATACTCAATGAATATTTAATGAAAAAATAAAGTTTTATGGGGATCACAAGTACATTTGATATAGGATAAACTGGTTATATATTGCTAGTTTGTGTACATGGAATTGATCCCTGCAGAGTTCCTCTGTCAGTGAGATTGGATACAATTTTGGAGAAAGTGTTCTTAAAGAATGTGTGAGGAAAGGCAAGAAACTGGAAAGTGAGAACACTTAGAGGATCAGCAAGTGATTTTCACTTTTCATGTAGACATCCCTTGTCTTCATAGTTAAACCATAAATTTCATGAGGACAGTAAATATGCTTCTGAATATTCCCTTTGGTATATTACAACTTTTATCATCTAACTTGTACCTATTTTAACAGACTAAAGGGAATCATATTTCCAACTTCTCTCTCATATCTGTGTTGCTTGTAAGAGTCTGATTTTCTCTCCTCAAATTCCCTGCTTCTCCATGGGAAGTTGCCATTGAGATTTTTTTGCCTCACAGCTGTAGAAGGCCGCTCTAGGACGGCTGGAGGCCCCATCACGTTTATGGTTCATATTTCTCCTTCTCTGGGGACAGAAGTGCAGATGAGCCTACTGAGAATGTGATTCTCTCACTTTGCTTTTCCTGGGATATACCTATCTGGATTACTTATGGTGAATAGCATTCTTTACTGGGTTACACACCTTCCCCTCAGCTTTCAGACATTTTTCTGGTACCTTGGCTTCTGGTCTTATTTTTGCTCTGTAGTTCTGATTACACATTCACCCTTTGGATATCATAATCGACATTTTCACTTAATACTGACCACTGATTTCTTCCTCGACAGTAATCAGCAGCCATTATTGGAATGGGTCTGATCCCATGTATTCTTCATGGCTCCTACCTTGGTACTAGACCTTAAACTGGCATTACCAACAGGTCTGTTCTGATTCAAGGTGATGACGTTCCTAAAGAAGGAGGACCAGCCATGAGGCTAGTAGAGAAATCCAAAAGTAAAGTAATGCAATTCTGAGCCAGACTGAATGCTTGAGGCTGCAGAAATTACTCCAAAGATGTAGAGTTGTTCCTCAAAAGAAAATGGAAACCTTTATATTCTAAAAGATTTTTAGTAATTTGCTGTTATACTTTACAAGTTTATCCTTCTTTTACTTGTTGACTATAGCAAGATGATTATTTCTGGTCTGCCTTTCAACAGAAGCAAAATTATACTGCATTATTTATTTAGCAATTCTTTCACACTCAACCCCCACATACAGAACAAATCATAAACTATCTAACAAGTTAAAGTCCCCCAATGGATCTAAGACCTTAATGATTTATAAAGTTATAAAACCTAGTATCACGTACCTAAAGACTTTTTATTGCACTTGTAGTACCTCAAATAGATGAACGTATTTTGTTTAAATTGGGTAAATAAATCCATTCTCAGTATATAATATAAAATTTCAGCCTGATGTGAATGAAACTGAGTTGCCAAGAATAAACTTAGAAAATCAGGGCTTAAACAAGATGTACTGATACCTTAACAATGGGTTAGCCTCAGAGATTTCATTCATTTAACATAGTTTGGGCACCCTGTATGTACTAGACACTCTTCCAGAGACTTGGAGTACATCAGTGTGCAAAACAAAAATCTAAGCTTACATTCTAAAGGGTTAAGATTGACAATAAAAAATAGTATATTATTAGACAGTATGTACTATAGAAAAAAAAGAAGAATAGAGAAGATCAGGAGTATGAGGGATGAGGTGGATTATGATTTTAAATAAGATGGTTAGGGTCCCTAAGAAAGTGGCTTGAGTAAACTCAGAAAGTAGATGAGGCTGTTAACCTTAAGTGTGTATGGTCAGTGCAAAGGCCCTCAGGTGGGTGTAGATCATGTGTTCAATGAACAGTAAAGAGGCCAATCAGTCTAGAGTGGAGAGAGCAAGGGGTAGAGTTATTGGAGATGAAGTCAGAGAGCTACTAAGTACTAGGCCATGGCGGGCTTTGTGAGTCGTTGTTGGAACTTTGGCCTTATTCTGAAGAAAACTGGGAGCCTGCTCAAGATTTTTTGGAGAGAAAATATATGATCAAGGATCACTCATGCTGCTCTTTGTGGGAATAGATTCTGAAGGGACATGAGTAAAAGCAGAGAGGCCATTAAGGAAGCTATTGCTCCAATCCAGGAGAGAGATGATGGTGGCTTGGACCAGTGTGCTGGCTGTGGAAGTGATGAGACTTGGTTAGACTTCTGAATATAGGGTTAGGTAAAACCAACAGGAGTTTTCTAATGGGTAAGAAATGGAGGTATGAGATAAAGAGAGAAATTAAAGATGACTCCTACTTTGTTTCATGGGCTGAGCAACTAAAGGAATGGTGAAGCCATCAATTGCTTCTGGGGGTCAACTTTTGGGAAAAAGTTCAAGAGTTCAAAACATTTAAATTAAATCTACATTTGGCTCTCACTTTCCTTCAGTTGTGTTAGACTTTAATTTTTGAAAACGTTTTCTTGAAATTAGGCCTCAAAACACCATAATATATGTTAAATTATTTTTTAAGATTACTTGTAAAATTAGCCTTTCAACAATAGGAACTTGGATTTCTATTCAGATGTCCCAGACAAAGACAGTATCTTTGCATATGGCCTTGGAGGGCAATAGAACCAAAAGGTTTTGTGGAAATTGAAAATTACATAAAGACCAGATATGGCAACATTTGGACTAAGCGTTCTAGAAAATAAATTTAGTGGATCCAAATGTCTTTCTGAAGTAACTGGAGAATGACATATAGTTTTTGTTGCATTTGCCAGTTCACATTTGGAATTTGGAACTGATTCTAGCCAAACTTCTCAGGGTCTCAGTTTGCTTATCTGAAAAATGGGACTCAAAAGCTGTGCTATGAATCTCTAGAGCTTTTATTTAGGGTTGATTTCCATAACTTGTGTGAATACTTTATAGACTATTAAGTGCTGTAAAATATTTCTGGAGTCAGAATACATATGAGAACAT